GTGAACCTCAGATGTGCACACAGCAGAAGCAGAACGTGAAAGGTGTTTGGTTGGTTTGATGACCTGCTGATGCTCTTGTGTTTTCAGGACTCAAGTGATGGACCCAAACGAAGCAGTTCTGCCATCCCTTTACAAAACAACTCTTGTTTTGCTTTTTGACACCCATGTTCTCTGGTACAATGAGCTGAACTCGACAGCGTCTCATCACTGAGGAAGACTACGAGCAAAAAGACGTTTGCTGGTGAACTATGGAGGATTGTGCTGTGACCTCCAGCGCAGGGACGACCAACGTCACGAGCGCCTGCCAGGGCTATCACTGCAACGAAATCCTTCAGCGGCACTATAACTACACCGGCAAACTGTATCGGGACCGGTACAGAGACGGACTGAAACCAGACTCCATCATCCTCCTCTTCATCTGCCTCTTCATCGTCGTGGAGAACTCGGTCGTCCTCATGGCCATCTGGAAGAACAAGAAGTTCCACATGCCCATGTACTACCTGCTGGGTAACCTGACGCTGTCGGACCTGCTGGCCGGATTCACCTACATGCTGAACATCGTGCTGTCGGGTCCGATCACGCTGAAGCTGACGCCGCTGCTGTGGTTTCTGAGGGAGGGCGGCGTCTTCATCACGCTATCAGCGTCTGTCATCAGTCTGCTGGCCATCGCCATCGAGCGCTACTTCACCATGCTCAACACCAAGCCCTACCACCGCGCCAAACGCAACCGCATGTTCGCTCTGATCGCCGCCAGCTGGGTGCTGTCGCTGTTGCTAGGCGCTCTGCCTATTATGGGCTGGAACTGTCTGCATGATCTGAAGTGGTGCTCCACCGTCCTGCCGCTCTACGCCAAGAGCTACATCTTCTTCTGCGTGTTTGTGTTCCTGACCGTCCTGCTGGCCATCGTCCTTCTGTACACACGCATCTTTCACTTCGTCAAGTCCAACACGCAGAACCCGAGCTGCGTTCAGCGCAAACCCTACGGCCATCGCTCGCTGAAGTACATGGCTCTGCTGAAGACCGTCACCATCGTGGTGGGAGCGTTTATCGTGTGCTGGATGCCGCTGTTCGTGCTCCTGCTGATGGACTTTGTGTGTCCCGTGAAGACGTGTCCTGTTCTCTTCAAGGCTGATTACTTCCTGGGCGTGGCCATAACTAATTCCCTCATTAACCCCGTCATTTACACGCTGACGAGCAGAGACATGCGCCGGGCTATTCTGAAGCTGCTCTGCCGCCGCTGCCTGATGACCAAAGACGGCCGCGTGAGGAAGATCGGCATCCGCATCAGCTTCACGAAGACAGACGTGAACCGCCAGGGACTGGAGACAACCATCTCGTCCGGGAACGCCACCACCTCACCCATCAAATCCATCTACCCCAAACTCAAGCTCTCCGTCATCGCGTAAGCGCTCTTGAAGCCCGAGCACATTTCAGGCTCTGGACTGAATCGTGACAAATCGAACCTAATTAAAGGCTCGTCCCAGTCACAAACCCTCACGCAGCCTGAAAGAGAAACTGTTTCAAACACGACAGTCGCTTTTGCGATATGGACCTGAAATCGTGAGCAGAAAGAGGTCTTTGCGTAGGTGTTTTTCAGCATTTCAGCATTCGGTCCTTTACATGAGTCAGTCACAGTTACATCTGCACAAAGACTCAGATATCAGTTCATCAGCCAGTATCAGAATCAGATCTGAATGCAAAGACTTCAAACAAACATGCAGTTTGCTGCACTGAACTACAGACAGACCTTATATATAATATACTGTATGTCAATCATTTCTGATACTGCAAAATACACAAACCCTTCACAGATAAAAGCAATATGAGGAACATCACTGTAAATATTCCACTCTCGTGCTCTTACTGAATGTTAAACCGTGAGCATCTCTTCACACAAAAGCATATTTAAAGTTTGTTTCTACAGTTTTCTTTATACAGTGTAAATACTGGACATGCTGTTTTTGGATGCTTTTGTAAAGCCTGATTTATACTAAATAATGTTATTTTTTATTTGATATTAAATATTTTTGAAGATAACCGAGATACAGTATAGCTTGTTCATGCATTTCACATACAATCCCAAGATTATGAAGTTTGATTATGAGGCCGATAATAAAACCTAAAAGGATTTGGTGAGGGTTTAGGGATAGAAAATATCATTAGGTCACTTTCATGATAATAAAATATTGTGAAAAAGGTATATAAAAAACGTTCTTTTACGAACTGATCATTGTATCGTTTTTTGGGGGGGAAGCAAATTTGCCCTGATTTCCGGTCATTTGTTGTCATCAGTGTGAGAAGCCTAACATTAAACCATATTCTTCATTGACTTCATGTATTTAAATGATTTGTTTTGTGTTGTTTAGAGTCTCACACTGAAGATGCTTCAGGGTCACTCTATAGTTGAACGCTGTACACAGATGCTTCATAGTGATTTCTGTGTGTAGCGTGTCCAGTGTGCTGGCAGTGATGCATGTCAAGGCTGTGGTTCAGATCTGTGGGAGTTTGCAGAGGGGCTGCTCGACTTGCACACTAACATGGAAACACAATTCAGCTCAGTTTTCCCCTGTTTACCGTAAACACACGCTGCCATCACACACACAAATACACACCACACTTCTGAGAGCCGTACACACCAAAGCCACAAGCCTTGAGCTCCGCTCTAAAGCCACGGCCATGAGACAGACATGTGTATCACACACTCACACACACACACACACTCACACACACTCATAAACACACACACTCACACACACACCCACACACTCGCACACACTCATAAACACACACACT